CTTCAGATGCGTGTAACAGTGAGAGTATGATTATGTCATCAGTTGTGATAGAGAGTCAATTACCAGCGTGCACTGAGCAGATACTTACTGCATCATTGTGTCTGAAATGCTGAGCAAATGGAAAAATCATTATATGGTCATTTGCATTAAATCTTTCGAATGTCTTTTCAAACCATAACAATTTAACAAGTCAGTCTTTTAGGCAAGTAAAGGACAGCAAGTACTCAATACAAGTGCTCTCCATCAAAACAAACCACTGAACAAATGCTCAAGTGTGCAGTGTTTCTTTGAGTGGAATTTTGTTTTGGGGAGTAGGGTGCAGGGAATGTAGACTCCAACTTAATATTAAGTGTCTCCCTGCTGTAAAGTGCCTTTATCTGGAAGTTAAAACAACTGATTGATTGATTTAAGAGCATGAACTAAATGCTTTAATTTCGAGCTATAAATATAAATGCATGTACAGTAGCACACCACATACATTACACATAAATAATGCACAGTAGTGTTGCATAATGAAGTGGGATGTATAATTTAACCAGGTGGTTTAGCTGGACTTCATTGGTGACATTACCCAGGGTGAGAGGAAGTTGAAGTGCTCGGTCAAAGAACCGGGGAAACCTACACATGGCACACACGCAATCAAGTAGACACATAGCATAAAACAGTATATTATTCAGATATACACAAAGAGAGACACGCATACTGCAGGCACCCATACAGGGACAGTGAATGGAGAAAAATAAAACAGACACCAACACACAAAAGTGAGTGCGTGTGTCTGTGTATGTTTTCTGAACTGTCTGTGGGCTCAAATGGGTCATTTGGTCTCAGCAGACCGGAGGAATCACAGACAGGTTGGGCTCATCACAAACCACCTACATCAGGAAGAGTGGGTGAGAGAAGAGACACTCACTGACGTTAAGAGAAATACAGATGGAGGTAGTACACCTACTTGAAAACTGCTTTCAAACAATGTTTCACTGAAAATAAAGCTAAAGGAAAAAGTTGAAGACAGAAGGAAAGTCCTTAGGACAAGATTAATGCCAGAGGCTGAAACTGAATGAGTTATAAAATATAAAGATGTCAGCTAAAGGGAAATTCCCCCTGGCAAAGGAAGAGGGATTTGTTTAGTTTCAGGTGACAATGCTGGGCTTCTGCTCAGCCGGGAACACACAAGAAGAATTTCAAATCCTAACCAACTGGGAACTAAGCCAACAGCACACATTAGCAATACAGTAGACCTTCCCATATTACATTTGTGGGTCCAAATACAGGATACCTTTCAGATTTGTCCAGATTCCAGTCAAAAATATCAAACATGTTTAAAATAAATGTTTTGATTCTGAAGAGTCTGAGGCTTGATCCAATTGTGAGACAAATTCTAAACTGCTGATGATCCCCTTTTTTTCACAACACTTCAGGGACATTACACAATCAGACTGAAACATAAGTTCCTGCCTTAAAGCTGCACAAATCAACATTTTATGTCAACAATGGATGAAATGACTATGTCTATGTGAATGGGGTCACTCAAAGGGAACAAACTGACAAACAATCATCAAACTGTTCCTACTCAGCTTTATGGAGCATTTTAGAGTCTTTCAGCTCATTGTTTTGGTTTTACGTTCCAGACAGAGTCAGTTAGCAACTAGCTGGTGAACATAGCAGAGCATATAGCAGCCAAAGAGCCAGATATTTCATATCAGACTAGGGCTAAAAGGAGAGTGACTCCAGGGGAATGCAAATGTAGCTCTGTATCTGCTGGATGTGTAAATTAGAAACAGTTTGCTAACATGTTAGGCATATCGACTTTATAAGGTAATGTCAATGTTGTGTTCACAGCGTGTTCCGCTGCCCCCAAGTGGTCAAAAGAAAATCACTGGTTTCATGAAAACATATCAACGAAAAGAAAGGTGAGTCAAGTGTTAACGTGGAGAAAACGCCTTTGTTCTCTATTGATACGTTGATGCATGCTGGTTTGCAAACTCAACCAGGCTGAGAAATATGCAAGTCATACAAAAAGTATAAAAAACCATCCAATCCATGTCCATCCAATGTTACAGCCTCTCACCCTCAAAGCCTTGAGGCTGCCCAGTTGCTGCCTGTAGAAGCTCTCCATGCTCCAATAACATTGGACAAGCCACTGGGGATGGAAAGAGTTCAGACCTCCAGAGGAAAGAGTTCAGAAACACAAGGGGCACTGTGTTACAGAGAGAAAGTGAGAACAAGGAGGAGAGGCTACAAAAACAAGAGCAAGTCTTTTCTTCTTAGCTACTCTTAGAAAAATTTAAAAAATCCAGCTTCCATCCAAGATGCATGCATTGGTCCTATATGTAGCCAGGAAGCAGGCAGAAAGTCAGGCGGTCAGTCAGGCAGTTAATTACAGAAGAAACAGTGACATTGTTGGATGGCAAGAACAAGAAGAAAGCTTAAAGGTGAGGATTTTTTTTCCTTTGCAAGCCAAGCCTCCCAGCTGACCTTACTTTGTTTCCTTTGGGCTGAATTTCCTTTATGTGTGGAGTGTGTGCACAAAGGTCTGTGGCTTGTTACCATGTAACAGACACGCCAACGAGATGGAGAGTAACCCAAGGAAGAAATTACAATACAGACTATGAGAATGTAAAGAGAAGAGGAGGAAAAAAGTCTAACCACAAGCCATTAAAGCAGGGGATGAGGCAGTGACACAAAAAGACATATAATGTGTATGTAGAGAGAGCAAGCGAGAGAGAGACTCACACATCCCTGAGAGCCTAATTGAAACCAGACACGATCATTTCTGCAGAAGAGGAAAGGCGAGTTTAGAGACAGAAAACCACTGTTTTTTTTCCGACAGAGGTCAGAGGTAGTGAACTCACAAAAGCAAACATCAGAAAGAGAAACTTTAAGATGGAAACAGACCAAAACTGTGTGTTCTTTATACCCATGAGAAATCAGTTTTCTCCTATTCTCTGTAATCCGAACATACCCACGAGAATAGCAGCTACAACCCTCAAAAGAGGTCAGAGTCTCATGTATACACTTTGTTGCATGGATGCAACTCCTGTGTGTGTGTGTGTGTGTGTGTGTGTGTGTGTGTGTGTGTGTGTGTGTGTGTGTGTGTGTGTGTGTGTGTGTGTTTGACAACCGGCCAGCTTTCAGCTGATGTTATGCAGGCATCAGTGTGGTCTCCCTCTGTTTCTTGGCTGTGTCTAATCATGTTCTGAAACTGCTAACTACAAAACACTTCCATCATAAAACATTAAACACAGGATTACTATAGAGCTCAAATGTGTCATGTTTATAAATTCTGGGACAGAAAAATGAAGAGTTGGGGAAGCAATTAATTTAGCTGTTATGTAATATTCTACTGTGTTATCAGTTTTCTTTTCATTCTTTTCTATCAAAAATCTTGAGTGTCTTGCAAATTGCTTCATTACAAAGAGGGAGTTAAAAAACTGTCATGAGACGTTCAACAGAGCTCACACTCACAATGTCTTCCCCACCAACCAGCTATGTTGATTGCTTTGTACTGGCGCCAGACACATCTGCACCTTAAACACACACACATGCAACCACCACAACACACACACACACACTCACCTAAAGCATGATTCTTCCACTCCTCTTACAACAAAGTGTTCCACTTAAACATAACTGTGGCAAGCTGAAACAGCAGAAATTTAAGTAAAAGGGATTCACTCGCACTTTGTAATCAGAGTAAACTTGCAAGTCAGGCTTTTTCTCTTCCCCTTTTTTTGGTTCCAGAGTGCAGCCACACATCACTCCACTCTGCGCTGCATGAGACTCTGCTGAAACTTACACAGGGGCATATATAACTCCATCTGCAGATGTGTGTGTATATATATATATATATATATATATATATATATACACACAAGCATTTTGTAATTATACCCTTAAATTCTGCAAATCTATGCAAAAGGAGCAATGTAACAAATTTCCTGAATCACAGCTAACACCAAATTAATAATAAAATAAAAGAGTTGGCTGTTTATTCAATGAACATGAGTCATTTGGTGGGCATGGCTGTCCGGAGTTCCTTACAGTACAAAGAGGGATCAAGTGGGTAAATTAACCCCTCACTCTGGCAGAAGTGGTGCTTAGCTCTATCTGTTGAACTACACAGGGAACTGAATGCCTAATCATGGCAGTGTGAGTGCATGGGACCACCCGCCAGTTACATTAACAAAATCCGTAAGGAAGCATCTAAAATTAGCAAATTAATGTTTTCTTTGCTGCATGATTTATATGCGGTTGAGAGGAAATCAAGATCAGCGCCAGGGTGCAATGACCCTCCACAGACTTGGCACAATTTCAAGAACTCCAGATTACACAACGCATACAAGACCAGAAGTTTTGTGGTCGAAAAATAGAGCTTACTTCAGCAATTCCTAATACTGACCTGGCACAAGCTGCAACTTAAATGTAAAGAATACAATAATTCATCATTCATTTTTAAACAAGTGCCAAAAAGTACAACCCACTACAGCAGCAAATGGAATGAATTAATACAGTATTCCATGTTATGCAAACCTGAGCAGGTCAGCTTTGTCCATTGTATCTTCACATTTGCACTTTGATCACATTGTGAGTTCTCAACATGACATGAGTTGTATTCATTCTTTGTCCATGCAGACACTAGCAGTGCATGCCTATGATGTCTTTGGAACAAAGAAATAAAAAAGGGGGTCACACTTCTATTAAAACAAAAAGGAGGCAGAAATAATCCTAGAGGGGATTTTATTACATATTCTGCAACCTAAGAACCATTTCACATCAAGATTAAAATAATATGCTGTGGTCTTTTCTAAGCCTTCAGGGAATCTGATTTTATCACCAAGAACCAAAATGTGCTGCCAAACAATACTTGCCAAAAAATTCTTCTTGCACATTGAATATTGTATCAGGAAGAGTTGGTGATTTGCTGTTGCTTTCGGCTGAATAATTGTAGATAGACAGACCTTTTACACTTTGGTACAATATGAAGGTTTCGGTCCTACCTGTGCAGGGAGAGAATCTGGCTCGGGCTCATCCACTAGGACCTGCAGATCTCCGGTTGGTCCTGCGTCCCTGGCTCCTAATCCTGTCATGAGCGCCGCATCTAAGCCAAGAAAATCTGCCTGGCTGCCTATAAACTTAGAGCGTGGAGTGAGGGACGAACGACTGGCTGCTTCTCCAATCTCTTACACACACACACACTCACTCTCTCTCACTCTCTCTCTCTTTCTCTCTCTCCCTCTCTCTCTCCAGCTGCCTATGCTGAGTGATTGACTACTGCCTCATACAAGCTCCCTCTCTCTCTCCCTCTCTCTCTCTCTCCTTTGCTTTTCACCCATTCAACTGGATCGCACAGAGAAGAGAGAGACAGAGAGAGAGAGAGAGAGAGAGAGAGAGAGAGAGAGAGAGAGAGAGACTGTGAGCAAAGTAAACCTGATTCTCAGACGATCCACAAGGCTGTGTCTGGTTTAGTATTACACACACACACACACACACACACACACACACACACACACACACATACATATACAAACATGTAGGAGGGCTGCAACCCTGCACTGGTCCTCTCTGTTACACCAATGGACTTATTCTAGGATATGCTCCAAATTGACCTGATGGACTAAGAGAGAGAGAGAGAGAGAGAGACATTGGGCACCTTGGTGTCACAGACGCCAAACTCACCCGTCAGCACAAACACCCTCATGTGCGTCTGTCTGGGCGTTGGTCATGCTTCCAGCAGAGGGGAGTCGCCTTTGAGATGTAAATGCAAGTTTGTTCCAAAATAGGCTTGTTCTATTTCCAACATCTGCCTTTGATCGCCGCTTTAGTGGACGAGCTCCTCTTTTGTTTTTAGGTCTTGAACCATGTTACCATGCATGTTGCAGGCAACACTTGCGGTTTCACAAGGTTTTGTGCTACCCATCATCTGGACTGCATCACTTTGCTGTGGTGCAAGAGGTGGAACCAACCACTTGTACTGCTACCTTTATGCCATTCTAGTGGATTTAAGGATAGCAATGTCAGTCTAAGACTTTGGTCTAGACAACTATTAGATGGATTGCCATGAAATTTTGAACAGACAGATTCATGTCTCCCCAGGTTGAATTCAAAACCCCAGTGATCACTCAACTTCTAGCACCAACATCACGTCAAAACTTAAAGTAATTGTCCAATACTTTGGTTAACGACCAAATACTTCATAATACCTTCATTTTATTTTATCTTTAGTGCTACGTAGCCAATATTAGCATGCTAAGACAGTCAACTAAGATGGTGAACCTAGTAAATGTAATGAAAAAAAAATCAGCATGTTCATTGGGTCCATATTAGCATGCTGGTGTTACCATTATAGCAAAGCACTGCTGTCCCAAAGTTTGGCTACAGCTGCTTGCATGACTGTAGAATTGTCTTGTTTTTTTCAGTGCTTACCTTACAAACTCTATCTTCTATTATGACATTTTGGCATGTTCGCTATCCTAGTTTCCTCATTTGAATCATTATTTAGCCAGCAATTAATGAGGCAAGTAGAAAGTAGAAGACTTGATGCAGCAATTGCGTTATGTAACAGACTGAAGACACAGATCTATGTAAATCTGTTTTGTGCCATTTGATATCTTTTTATCTTTTCTATTTTTGTGATGAATCAAGTTTGAGTTCCTGGTGTCTCTTTTAAGATAAATTATCTGTAATTGTTTTGTACAGCAGTACATCTGTGTATTTACCAATGAAGCAGTGAAGATTCCCACATTGGCTGGAAACTCTCTACCACTTGTTGCTAACATTAACCAGTTGGCCTCTCTGACACAAAACAACTCCCACAGGAATAGTTTCATCTGCTAGTAATGGGCATTCTGTGTAATTTTATGGTGCCAAAGGACAGTAATCCCTACTAATCAACATACTGCTGCCTGGCCTGTCCTTCTCTTCTGTTCTCTTCTCTGGATCAACACTGAGTGAAACAGCTCCATATTAGGATCACTTTTCTGTGCTGGCTTAAATAGATTGTTTACTGCCAAACACTTAAAATGGCTTGAGGGCACTTACACCAGAACAACTGTATTAAGTAAGTAGGAGGAGCTGGGATGGAGACCTGGGAGCTTTTCTGCATACAGTATATAACAATCACCCTGTCTGTTTAGCAATGGCATATACACAGTAGTCCCCTCCTCAAACATGCAAGCGTCTACTGTACATACACACATCTGCAAAAGCATGCATGCACATCAGGCCACTCAACGAGACTGGAATAGAATACAGAATGGCATCCAAGTAAAATGCAAAATGCATTTTCTCGATGAACCCTATATGCCTGTGCCTGTGTGTGTGAGTATGTGTGTGTTCACGCCCAGAGAGTAGAAGGGCTGTTTGTGTGCCAAGACAGCTGTGGTGCCAATGGGGAGATGAAGGATGCGTGCCTTGTTAAAATTCTTCAAACGCATTCTTTAAAGAGCCAGGTCAACTTTTAAGCCCAATGTATCATTTTAAGACGTTTTTATAGCCAAGGTGTATCATATAAATGTCTAAATGAATCTCTGATGAAAGCAAAATTTGTTAACATAGCACTTCTAATTTTGTCAGGCAAGGCAATGTAGTTTCACTGCATGTTTATCCTTTCTAATATCTTAAAAAAATCAAATATCTGTTCTAGATAACATATCAGAAACAAAGCAAACAAAGACTTATCTGATGCGAGCTTCCGTCTCAAGTTACTGCATTGATATGAATAGAAACCAATGACTTCCTGGGTGGTAGCAAATCCATCTAAATGCCATTATAATTTATTCTAACTATATGCTTTGTCCCTAATGCCCTCTAATTAGGCTAAAGCAGCATTTTCTCTATTTCCAACCTTTGCCACAAGGAAAACATGTTGTAAATGGTGACAGCAGTGCTTTCCTGCCACACAAGTAAACTAACTTAACTCCTGTTGGAAGAGCTGCACTCTTCCATTTGTGATTTTGATGTCAGAGGTCACACACAATGAAGCAGGAGTCTTCCACTTCCCCCAAAAAATGCTGGTGCTATTTTCTGCATGCATTTCCATTTCCATCAGGAATAATGGAGGCCTAACGAAAGCTGAAAGAAGAGAGAATGTTGGACTTTCAATCATCAATTGGCCAGAAAGACAGCTACAAATGAATGCTATTGTTGCTCCGTGTCTGCTGGATGTTCACAATATGGCCTTAAAATGTAATAATATGTAAATGTTGCGTTTACAACTTGACTGATGTGAGCTTGGTGCATTGAATAATTTCCATAAAGTAGAGGTTGAGTTGCTATTATTAACAGAGATACGGCAAATGGCCAGTCAGCTCGCTGCAGCATATCCATCTCCTGCAGTACATCGAGAATTAATAGAATCTGTCGACATGACATCTGTCATCACATCCAGTGTGTCTGCTCCTTAAGAGGATACTGTGGTGAGAGACTTTAACTGTAGATGGGGGGACAACGTTAGGATTAAAAGTGATATCACTATTCGATCTGGGACAAACATGTTTTGTCTGTTAACTCTGCTTCCCTCTTTTTTCTTCCCTCTCTCTGTTTGTGAATCATCCTGTCTGTCTGTCTGCATCTCTCTCAGTCAGTGTCCCATGCTTCTCTACCTGGCCACAATCCACAACAGACCGGGAATGCATTGGAACACATGTACACACAAACGAAGCTGTGCAACTATTTAGACAAACCAGATGACCCCATATCTCCATCTGCTGTGGCTATAAACGTACATCCTATTTAATCAAAGCACCGTACACGGAATCCTTCCCTTTAACGTCTGTGTGTGCAGCGCTGATCCAGTCCACGTTCTATAATTGCTCACTTCAAAGACAACAAGCATTAATCACTCTGTAGATAATGCAATCTTAATCCCCTCTGTATTTTCTCAGTCTTTTTATTCCCACTATTATTTTCCCATGGTTTATCAATCTCAGTCAGCCTTACTGTGTGTGTGTGTGTGTGTGTGTGTGTGTGTGTGTGTGTGTGTGTGTGTGTGTGTGTGTGTGTGTCCTTTCGCCCCTCTTTCCACTTCTTTTGGTGATTTATTTGTTTTGCATAATTTCTTTCTCTAGCATTCCCTCACTTCACCCCTTTTTTATTTTCTTCTCGGCTTCGGTGTGCCAGAATAACGGCTAGACGCAATTAAAAATAATGGAAGACTGGAATATACAGTAAGTGTCTCAACATGTCAGCCTAAGTGTCATGTTACGCTGAATAAAGCTGCTGTGCATTACTAATACAAATAATCTTGCAATTTCACATCACACTGTGGGATATATGTCAGGAATGTGTCTGTGGATAGAGAAATGAAGGATGCAAAAAAAAAGATAAGTAGGGAAAAAGAAAGAAAGCATGCAAAGAAATAAAGAAATAAAAACACAATCGATGAATGTCTTCATATCTGCCGGATCAATTATGTATGACAGAATAAACTGGGTATCTGTTACGATCTGTTTCTCTGGGTGTCATGGTGGATTAAATGATCATAACATGAGTACAGCGAACTGCAAAGACAAATGAAGGTTGGATGTAGAAAGAATAAATAGAAGGAGACATTAAATACATCTAAGTAGGTGTCAGAAAAGAGAATGGCATGTCTGCTTGCAGCTCAGTGTACTGTAATGACTAAAAATGACTTAACTGTGTTTTTTAAGTAATAACTATCATAAATTCAGGCCAACAGGAGGGTGGAAATGAAACTGTTTGGATATTGTACACTTTGTGAGCCTAAGTGCCACAACTGATAAATGAATCCCATTATAGTGTATTGTAGCCATATTTCTGTTGCGTAAGAAACTGGAATTTTTTCTTTTATTTTGCCAGACAATTACAAGGAACTATCAGGAGAGTAATTTAAAACAGCAGATGAAAAAGGATAAATATGAATAAATAAGTGATGAGTTGCTTGCATGATATTGGTTTTAATCCATAAGAGTGGATGCATCCAGATAAACATGAGTGAGTGAGCTTTACAGTGGCTAGGTGGATGCTTTCATGGCTGCAAGGTGGCGGTTTAATTACTGCTGTCAGCAGTGAAACTGTCTGCAATCATAACTTAATCAAACAGAATCAAATGACTATGTGTAATGTCAATGGGGTCATATGTGGTGGTTAACCACCACTGGATTTGATTGTGCCGTATTATGAAATTCAAAAATACATCTTTTTCCTATACAGTAGCGGCTGTATATCTAGTGCCATCCATCACTGTAAGACAGGAGTTCACAGAAACAAACAGAATTTTTTTTCACATTGAGTGATGGCTGAGTTAATGGCTAGAGTTGTCAAGTCAACAATTTTATCAGCATGCTCTCTTTTGCCCCTCATGACCATATCCCATTTCAGAGTTATCACCATTACTGCATAGCTCTTCTCCCTAATGCGATAAAATAACAAGACGGTGAGAGAATACGTTTATCTATCTCCCTGTGCA